AGGTGGGTAGAGATAACATCTCGAAGTCCCACACCGACAAACCGGTCTGCCTCAAGGATTCTGGGGGAGGCAAACATTCGACTAAACTAAACATAGGAACATATAACATCAGATCCATGAATGATGATACTAAACTTCACGAATTAGAAGAAGAACTAAATAATATACAATGGGATGTCATTGGTCTGTCAGAGATAAGAAGAAAAGGTGAACAAAAAATACTATTAAACTCAAAAAACATGCTGTACTATAAAGGCAATGAAGATAACTCTAACAACGGAGTTGGTTTTATAATAAACAAGAAAGTCGTCAGATACATACAATCCACCAAGGGTATATCAGACAGAGTAGCCTACATTATGCTTAAATTAAAAAGAACGTCTTTGAAAATTATACAGGTATACGCGCCAACAAGTTCATATACAGATGAAGATATTGAAAACTTCTACGAAGAACTAACACTCGCTATGGAGGAAAAGAAAACTAAATTGACGCTAATAATTGGAGACTTCAATGCCAAATTAGGGGGAAGAATAGATGGAGAAGAACATAGAATTGGAAAGTATGGATATGGCGAAAGAAATAATAGAGGACACACATTAATGAACTACTTGGAGGAGAGACAACTTTTTGCTATGAACTCGTTTTTTAACAAAAAACCACAAAGAAAATGGACATGGATAAGTCCTAACGGTAATACAAAAAACGAAATAGATTACATCCTTACAACAGAAAAAACCATCATCAAAGATGTTACAGTACTGAACCGCTTCTCAACCGGTAGCGATCATAGACTTGTCAGAGCCAAACTCAGGATTAATAGCCAATTCGAAACAAAAAAGAAAATAGAAAATGTATCGAAACTAGATATGGAAAAACTTAAGCAATCAAAAGACGAATATAAACAAAAAATAAAGGAAGGTATACCGGTCACTAGAGATTTGGAAAACAAAAATATCGATGAAATAAATCAGCTATTAACCGATACATTAGCAAAGGCGGGAAAAGAGGTAGCACAAACAAGAATAAAAAAGGAAAACTATGTATCCCAGGAAACAAAAAATCTTATGAGTAAAAGAAAAACATTACTGGAACAAGATAAGAGAAACACAGTAGATTACAAAGAGGTAAACAAAGCTATCAGAAGGAATATCAAGGATTATAAAAGGAGAGTACAGGAAGAAAAAATAGAAAAAGCAATTGAACAAAATAAAAACATGAAGTGCTTAAAACCACAGCTTGGAACCATACAAATTAATAGTATAAAGAACAAAGAAGGTACAGAGACCAATAATGTAGAAGAAATTATACAGATAACACAAGAATATTATAAAAACCTCTACAATACAAAACAGAAACCAACCAAGAAATCCTTAAGCAACTACAAATAAAAATAAAAAATGTTAATTCCGACTTACAACCAGAGATCAGTAAGAACGAGATAAGAAGAGCACTCAAAGAGATGAAGAACAATAAATCGCCAGGAAAAGACGGGGTGACTGTAGAAATGCTAAAACATGGTGGGAAAACAACTAGAGAAGTTTTGTACATACTTATGAATAAAATTCTAATGACAAAACAAATACCCAACAGTTGGAACGAAGCAATAACACTGTTACTATTTAAGAAAGGAGATAAAAAGGATCTAAAGAATTACAGACCCATAACTTTATTAAATGTGATGTACAAACTATTAACCAAAATATTAACAAATAGATTAACAACTAAATTAGATGGATACCAGGCAAGAGAACAAGCCGGATTTAGAAAGAGCTTCAGTACAAGTGACCACCTTTTAACGATGAAGATTTTTAATCGAAAAAACTAACGAATATCATATCCCGCTATACATGGCATTTATTGACTTTGAGAAGGCATTTGATAGTGTGGAACACTGGGCAGTACAGAATTCCCTACAAAACAGCAGAATAGACTACCGATATACCGACTTAATTACAAATATATACAACAAGGCAACAACAACTATTAAGCTAATGAAACAAACGGAGCCCATTAAAATAAACCGAGGAGTAAGACAAGGAGATACCATATCGCCCAAGTTATTTAACCAAGCGCTAGAAGATGTTTTTAAACGACTACACTGGGATGACTTGGGAATTAATATAAACGGGCAAAATCTGAATCATTTACGATATGCTGATGATATTGTATTAATAACAGAAAAAAGTGAAGAATTACAAAGAATGATGGAAGAACTAGATAGAGAATCGACAAAAATTGGACTCAAAATGAATTATAGTAAAACAAAAACCATGACTAATCAACCAGAAGAACTTATGATTACAGTGGCACAAACAAAAATAGAACAAGTAAAAGAGTATATATATCTAGGCCAAATCACTAAATTAAATAAAGAAAATCAGACCGAAGAAATAAAGAGAAGAATAAGATTGGCCTGGGCATCATTCGGAAAACTGTCTTATATTCTAAAGAATTCAAAATACCCCCAATACTTAAAAACCAGAGTCTTCAATCAATGTATACTCCCTGTCCTCACATATGGCTCTCAGACATGGACGTTTACAAAGGAAAATATGGAAAAAATAGCAAAGACAGAAAGATCCATGGAAAGACAAATGCTGAACATTAAACTATCAGACAAAAAAAGAAACGAATGGATCCGTAATAAAACAAAAGTGAAAGATGTCTCAACCCAAGTAGCAAAGCTTAAATGGAAGTTCGCCGGACACACCCTAAGGCAGAAAGATGAAAGATGGACTAAAACAATTATACATTGGAGACCATGGAATCACAAACGTAAAAGGGGAAGGCCACAAATGCGATGGTCAGATGACCTGAAGAAACACGCCGGGTCAAAATGGATGCAAATTGCCCAAGATAGAGAGGCATGGAAGAAGGAGGAGGAGGCCTATATCCAAGGATGGATTTTAAGGGCTGTATAGATAGAATGTAAATCTAAGTACTATTTGTATTGTTTAATTTATTTTTCAAGTTATAAGAAATATATCCTTCGTTAGGTTCTTTCACTTCAATACTTATACACATAAATGATAATAGCCAATATGTTTGTGTACTCGTTAATTTGAATACTGGTAAACAATCAACTAGTTACAGTTTAAGAAAAACGGTTCCGATAAAAATTTAAAAAACGAGAGGATCCACCTCTAGTTTTTTAGGTATATTAGGATCGGAACCAGAGAATATGTAAAATATCTCTGATCGGAACTAATCGTCTCACGAATGAGCAATGAGTGTTAAAAATATTTATGGAGGGGAGACCAATGGGAAATATGATTGTTATCTTTGTCTATTCGCTGAAAATTTAGATATCCTGGTAAATTTTACCATACCGACCATAAACTTTTACCTACACTGTATATATATATATATATTATATATATATATATATATATATATATATATATATATTCTCAAATTGACTATTTCGTTGTAAGTAAGATTGTTTTCAACAGCGATGCCAAATTTCTGATGCCAAAATGAGTTTTCATGAAAGTGGGATATATATTTTCACGTATATAGCGGCAGCGAGTAAACTGTAAAACCCTGAACTAAATATATTATAATATTTTCACTGTACCATCATTTTAGACTCGAACATTTTGTGGAATAAACTTATATAACTTAGTAGGGGATAAAAATGGTAGCAGATATTTTAAAGTACCAACACATCATCCCATCTCTAACTATTGAGATGGTTGAACTTTAACCAGCAACTAGGAATGCAGCAACAAACCGGTGATTATCTCACTTCACAAAAACTGGAAACTGGACCTCCAAACTGCTGGAACAGTAGACTTAAGGACTGCTATTCAGGTTCTCTCTTAATCAAAGGCTCTCAGCTTCTTTTGGTTAATTCAATTTTAAAATTAATAATTTGTTTTAACAATTAAATTCACATATTGTGTAGATCATATTGTCTTTGTCATTGCTAATTTTTTTATTATTATTAATTTTTAGAACCTCGTGACATGACAAGATATTTAGTAATATGCTGTCACCCAACACAAGATTTCTTGCTAAAGTTTTTTTATTATTGCACTTTTTCTTGTCTCCAAGACAACGGAAGCTTTTTTGGCGGAACTACCCAATTCGCACCACTTGCTGTTTATCACAACTGCTTATTAAACGGATGTAGTAAGCCAGCATCAATGCTACTACCACTTTAGTCAACACCAATGTTGCAACCACAGCCTGCCAATGCCTAAATCAATGCGCTGCTACTACAGCTTACATTTATCTTCATGTGAAGAATACATTCAGCCTCTTTTCCAGAAGTGACAATATTAGCTTTAAGCATTTTTTACATTTTTATTTTATTATAAAGCTTAGGCAAGATTTGCTTTAACTAAATGTTGTTTCTTTATTTTTAATAAATATGATTAGGGAAAACAATCCATAGTTTGTAATTTCCAAATTTCTCATTGTACAATTTGCATTAAGAAAAGACGTACCTATACCAGAGAAAAAGCTAGTGGAGCTCGTTTTATAGTTACACGACTGACTTGTCGATTTATTGTTAAACAATTGGCACCCAGTGATTTAGTTAATTATTTTATTATTACACGTTTTACAATATCGAACTGTTTTTTACAATTACGCTATTTGTGTTTTCTTGCATTTTGGTTAACTTTAACTTTTAACGTTCTCTTATAAGACTTTATTCAAATATGCTACAAAACAAAATAAAAAATTTAAAATATACCTGTGTTCTTTTAAATTTATCGTTATGTGTTTATTCGAATGGAATTATTTCTACCGGTTACTTTTTTCGAATTCTTTTTAATGCAAAAAACGGGGAATGAACTACAGGCCTATATAGACATTACCAGAAATAAATATGTTAATTACATTAATGTTTTAGTATCAAAACAAACTACTGAAGCTGTGCTATATATTTATAACTAAGCAAAAAATATTCAAAAAAGACTACAAGCGTGTCAAGCAAAACTACTAACTACATATATACAAATTCAATTACCAAATAATCTACATGTTATTTAAGGTGTGGTGGACATCTCATAACCATGCCAGCTTAGCTGCCGTTGAAACTAGTGCAAAAAATAAAGTTATTTACAAACTACAATTTTAGCATTTCACAAACTAATTTAAACAACAATATTTGTTATTAGCTAAAAAGGATACTTATTTTTTCCTAGTTAAAAAATAAAGATAATATACACTCACCGGCAAAATTAACGGAACACCTTAAAAATGGGACATGTTAGATGTCTCGAATTTCCTAAACCTGTTGTCCGATTTTAGTGATTTTTTTAGTATGTTATAGTTATAGTATTTAAGAATATCGATGTAATAATATTGTTGTTACACAGGTCAATGTCATTTTATACTGGGTGTAACAATCATACTGTGTTTTTTCCTTAAAGTTCGGAACACCCTGTGGAATATTCTAGCACATATAAAATATTCAAACTAAAACTCAATTATAGCCTCAGGCTTTAACATTTTCTTTTTTGATTCATTTGCTTGTGTTGGATAAAGAAAAAATTAGTACTTAACTAGCCATGTTTTTCATCAATAAATGCTCATTTTCTCTCTAGTCTATATATTGTTAATATTGTTTAGATGTAATAATTTATATTACAATGGTAGTACAATATGAAACCTGTATAAGAAGAAATAAAACACAAATATGTCAGACTCAAACAAAATACGGATTTTAAACACATTAACTTTATTGTATAGTTTGAACTTAAATTGGTTTTTTTATGTATTTTTTTGGCTTTAATAGCGTGTGTTTCCCCCACGAGCCCTTACAACTGCAGTTATTCGTCTTCTCATACTTCTGATAACGCTATCGATCAGTTGTTGAGGCAGTCTCTCCCATTCCTCAATCAAAGCAATTCTGACTTCCTCTCTGTTTTGAATAGAAGGAAACTGTGCCCTGAGTTTTCTGCCTAGCATGTTCCACACATGCTCTATTGGGTTCAGGTCTGGGGAACAAGCTGGCCAATTCATCGTTGTTATACCCACTTGTAATAAGAAATCTCTTACACAGCCTGCGACGTGTGGGCGCGCATTATCCTGCATTAAAATAAAATTTTCGCCAATATATGGTGCAAAAGATACCACATGGTCTTGGAGAATATATCTGATATATCCATCTGCTGTTAATGCTCCATCATCAATCACCACTAACTCTGTTCTTGCTCCCAAACATATACCGCCCCATACCATAATTGAACCTCCACCAAAAGGTACGGTCGTAGTAAAATTGAAAGGGGTATTTCGTTCTCCTTGGCGTCGATGCAATATTTCTCTACCGTCGATGTAATTTACACAGAAACGGCTCCCGTCCGTAAAGAGAATTTGACTCCAGTGGTTATCATTCCAATTTTGATGTACTCGACCAAATTGTAGTCGTGCTTAACGATGGCGTCTCTGTGAGTCTGGGAGTTTTTATTGGCACATATGACCTGAGACCGGCTTCTGTAAGTCTCCTTCTTACTTCGCGCTCACTTATGGTAGCTTCACGAACATTTTGCAACAGGTTTTTGGTTTGAACTACCGTTTGACGTCTACTACATAATGTTTGCAACGTTATAAATCGATCATCTACAACCGTGGTTAAACGTTTTCTACCTTGTCCCCTTCTTCTTACATACTCCCTGGTTTGTCTCCAACGACATACACAACGATGGATGGTTGATGGTTATTTACCAAATATTCTAGCAACTTCCCTGTACGTTCGACCATGTTCGACCATTGTTACGGCCCTAGCAATATCAGTCGGTATTAAATCACTCATTTTTACTTACTCTTTGCAATAAGAACACCACTGATTAGAACAAATCAAAAGAAAAATCACATCAACAAACTCAAACAAATTAACTTATCAATGAAATAGAAGTTTGTACTTGTTATCAACAGACAGAACGACTGTAAAATATTTAAGACTTTCTTGTGACAAGGAGCATTCAAAGCTATGTAGATATAGTCTATAAAATATAAATGTACTAAATATTTCTTATACTAAGTATTTAGCATAGTTTTATTTGTTAGTTACGCCACTGCGAGATACCACTAAAACCATATTCTTAAGGCGCCCCAGACAGGTCGCCATCGCGGGGAAAGGGGACAGAAAAATATAGACAATATCACACATGCCTGACCTAAAAGGGATTCGATATTTAGCACTCGAGCTGTGAAGGTTAATTATTGTGCAACGCCCGGCAGAGAAAAGAAGAAAGACTAGAACAATTAACGACGGGGTTGTCCGATATTTTAATTTGCAGACGATTATCCGTAATCTAGTAATATTATGTACCTGTAAATACCATCCGTACAGTTTATGTTTATGTAATAAAGACGTATCGTTTGGATCGCGGACTTTTACTCTAACCTAACGTTCGTTCCCTTTGAAATAATAAAAGAACTTTAAATTAAGACCTATATAAATATAAAGAAATATTGCATTAATAACTTGTTCCTTTAAATTTGTCAGTATGTGTATTAAATTGTTAACTTCTCATAGCCTACTTTAGGCTTGTTTATTAAACTAAGCTGAAAATGAGGATTTATTGATGAAAAACATGGCTAGTTGTTAAAGTACCTAACTTTTTTATTATCAAACACAAGCAAACGAATCAAAAAAGAAAATGTTAAGAAAGCCTGAGGCTACAATTGAGTTTTAATTTCAATATTTTATATATGCTAGGTTCGGAACACAGGGTGTTCCGAACTTTAAGGAAAAAACACAGTGTGATTGTTACACCCGGTATAAAATGACATTGACCTGTCTAGCAACAATATTATTACATCGATATTCTTAAATAATATAACTATAACATACTAAAAAATCACTAAAATCGGACAACAGGTTTAGGAAATTCGAGACATCTAACATGTCCCATTTTTAAGGTGTTCCGTTAATTTTGCCGGTGAGTGTAGATGGAATTTTTAAGAAAAAGTTGTAGAGTTACAAAAGGGGACAGAATAAATAACGTAGAGATTAAAACTGCCAATGTTATTGCCTCTACATATAGAAACAACCTATTGAAATATTTCTTGAATTAATAATAATGCACTGTTTAGAATCAGATATTCTCTTTAATTCTCATTAGAATTATGATTTCATTTCTTAATGATTTTGTTTTAGCCAGAACGTCGCTTAAAAGTTAATAACGAAAAATCAAAGTCAACTAATATTTTCGTTTTAATTTATGAATGCCTTTTATTTTATCCACAACTGCAAGTAAAAGTTAATAATAAAAGAAATAAACTGAAATAAATTGAAAATTGATAGTATAAAAAATACTGAAACAGAAGCACATGTATGTATTCAAGGACAGATCACTGATGCGTTTATGACAACGCAAGGACTGAAACAAGGTGACGGACTGGCTCCAACACTTTTTAATCTTGTTCTTGAATATGTAATTAGACGGTTGACGGTGAGCAGAAATAACATACTTACAAACAAATCTACCCAATTAGCAGCATACGCAGATGACATAAACATAATGAGCAGAACAAAGACTGCGGCAGAAGAAACCTACGTTCAGTTGAAACAGAGTTCAGAAGTTGTAGGGCTAACAATAAATACAAATAAAACAAAACTACTCATACAAACCAGATCAAATAGACAGGCGCAACAACAACAATTTATAGACGATATAGAATACGTGAATAGATTCACGTATTTAGGAATGGATCTGGTCGAAAATAATGAAGAAGAACCGGAAATAAATAGAAGGCTTATGCTGGCAAACAAAGCCTATTTCGCGATGGGCCACATATTCAAATCGCGAGACGTACACCGGAAAACAAAACTCCGGGTATATAAAACAATAATCCGACCAATAGTAAGTTATGGGTATGAAACATGGGTTATAACACAGAAATCTACCAATGCATTAGACGTGTTCGAAAGAAAAATATTGCGTAGAATACTGGGTCCAATAAAGGAAAATAACAACTGGCGAATTAGATATAATAACGAAATATACGAACAATACACTGAACCAACACTAGCACAATACACTAGACTGCAGAGATTACGATGGGCAGGGCATGTGGCCCGCATGCATGAGAACAGAATCCCCAGAAAATTACTAAACGCAAGAATGCAAGGAAAAAGACCTGTTGGAAGACCAAAAAAGAGATGGGAAGACGAGGTAGATGAGGATGCCAAAAATCTCCTAAAAACGCGTTCATGGAAAAGAACAGCAGTAAATAGAGATGTTTGGAGAGGTTTAATGAAGGAGGCCAAGGCCCGGCTTGGGCTGTAGTGCCATTGGATGGATGGAGTATAAAAAATACTACAGTAGATGGAGTTGCAGCTCAAACTCTGTCTAACGATACTTAAAAATGGATAATCGGCTTATTCGGCTCCGAAATTTCCATTTAATAAAATAAACTTATTCCACAAATTACTGAACGAATCAAGAGTATTTTTTGTACCGAATAATGTTTTTTTTTATATATATAAAGTGGTCAACATATGCGAAATGCTAATAATTGTTGTGTGTTGATAAAATGTGAAAAAGCAAAAAAATGTATTATTAAAATCCAACAAGAGCAATTTGGCAATTGTATAAAAGTAAAATATATTAAAAAATTGTACAAAGCCAAATTAAATTTCATAAGAATATAGGAAAATTCTGAAAATTGAGTATTAAAAATGAAAAAAAAAAAAAAACTAGAAACAGCTGAGTGAAGAAATGGACAATGTATATACAACAAAAATATACAGTAAAACTTCTCAAACGGCCAATAATTTTTTTCTTTGGCTACTTCGCCAAAGTTTTTGGGTGTTTAGAGAGATGGCGGCTGGGGATTATATTGAAGAGATAGCAGCAATTATACATACGATATAACTGGAAAATAAAACAACTATTAAAAAATTAAATATTGCATTTTGTGAGAAATTGTTCAATAAAACTAACATTGTTTTGGAATTTTTTAAATTTGGGGTTTGTTAGTTAATACCCACATTTTATTAAAATTTGAAAAATATTAACGACCAGATTCATAGTATTTTTTGTTAATAAATAGTTTTTCATGGTTTTGAACAAATTAATTTTGTTTTGACCACTTTCATATTATTCCTCTGTAGTGATATGATTTTCTTTCTTTGACAATCAAGGCCTAAATTATTTCTTGAAAATTAAAATCCGTTTTTCTTCTTAAAGAGGTTTATGGTCGAAGGCTTATTAGAAGGTTTATATAGGGTCGAAATTTCATCAGGTTTTGCCATAAGATAGTTCTTGAAGCGTGACCGTGACCAAGTGGTTCCCTAATACAAAATTTGTCGTAAGAATAAGTTTTAAATCATAAAACTGATTGTTAAAAGTGACCGCTTTTGAGATGTGACTAAAATGGGCAGTTTTACTGTATTTATAGCACTTTATTACCATACATACACTGTACAAAATAAACCAATATAACTTTTATAATTCGTATGTATGTGATACAAATACATACGTGTGCGTGTTTGTGTATGCGTGTCTTTGTGTCCTTATGTGCGGCATGTTTATGTGCTGATATGTACGTGCGATGTAGTTTAAATTATATGAACTGAACAAGAAGCACCATAAGGTTAGAAACAAAACCTGGAGCCCTCGATCGATAATACTTAGATCTAAGTCAACAAATTAGCAAATTTGTCTGTGTAACTTAACTTTTTTCACTGTTTATAAAAGCGCAAAAATTTGGATGGAGATATAGTAAAAATTGGACAAGTTACACGAGAACGAAACTAGAAAGAGTAATACAGAAACAAATAGTAAATACATAGAAAAAAAAAGAAATTAGAGGAAGACGGAAATGTAATTAAAAAGAATATTAAATATAACTTTAAAATAAAAATTGCGAAAAATGAATTACAGATACATGTACATGCGTCATTATTATCTACTTTAATTCCCTACACCTTTGTATTAGTCTGTAATAAACAAAAATAATGTTATTTGTCGTAAGCAAATGTCATATTTTAGCAGCTTACTTCTGATATACCAACTGTTGGCTCCGACGCGTATCCATCTCTACCTTCATCTTCAGATGAGGAGCTCGAATTTAATTCTTCCTCTTCATATGGTCTAAAAGCATATTAAAACATGAATATTCATTTATTAAGCATAAAATATTATACTAGAAACATATAGACATAACATGTTTTTATCGTATTCTCTTCTATCAATCTTCCTTCCTTGCCGCTCCAACGCTATTACCAATGAAATTTAACCCTGCGTTAGTGTGCCTAGGTAAATTAACACGTGAGGTGTTCCGGGGTATGTCATACCCCAAACTAAACTAACGATGGAAGTTAAAATTTTTAAATTTAATAATTTAAAATGGCTAATCTTGGTTTTTTACTTATTTATGATTCAAATAAATTAAATATGGTACTGTAAACGTCTTATATTTAAATGGTAAACATCATTTATCCAACATATTGCAATTAGGCTAGTCAAAAAACACGAGTGAACAATAATACACCCAGATATTATGAAAAAGTTTATTGATCACAAAACTCTAAATATACTTATAGCTTAAGATTCTACAAACTAAAGAAAAAAATGTTCGCCAAAATACATTGAAAAATAAAAAAGGTACGACTCTTCAAAATTGTCGCAATTTGAACACGTCATTATTGCGTGTTCCAAACAAATTGGGGTATCACATCGCATGCATATGTAAAAAGTCTTCCTATCTTTGTTTCTTAGACAAACAGAACACCTACATCTTGTCCTACGTCGCTTAGATCCCAACTGATGTACCTCTGGTTGCTGATTATCACGTAGTGGTCGACGCAAGGAAGGGTTTTGTCTTCGTTGGTTTCGAAACTCAGAAATCAGATGCACACCCAGTTCTTTTAAAAAAATTCGTCTTTTTAATTTATCGTTTTTTGTATTTATGTTATATATATATATATTATATATATATATATATATATATATATATAACTTAAGCATTCACTCCAACTGTATTCAAAAACGAAAAAAATAGTATCAAAGTCCAACGACGACTATTCTTATCTATTTTGCACATTGTCGAATCGCAAACATTGCAACAAAATGGACTATTTTTGTTGTGACATTGTTGTTCGAATGAGATCAATTTTGACGGTTTGACTTTAGTCCCGTCCCGTCAAATAGAGCAGGCCTATAACAGCTTTGATTTCTATTTTGTCAGTCACTTTGACTAAATACTGATGTCGTGCATCGTACCGTGGGGCTTTCGTCGCTAATTTTACATTTGTATAGTCAACAATGTCATCTAACATATCTTCTGTAAAGAATAACAACCAACAATCAAGAACACTCTGCTTTTCTCGTGCTATTCCTTTTACACCAGGTAAATATGTAATTAGATTGTCCGACCTTGTTCTCACTTGTTTGTTTTTTGGAAGCTTGAACCACTTTGATTTGACTTTATCTAAAAAGTATCTCTTACCATTATTCTCACTACCACTTTCTGAACCACTTAAAAATTCACTTTCTTCTTCAGCCTCCATTTCTTTAGAATCCTCCCTTTGGTGTGCTATCTCTCCTTGGGCCCCTTCTTCCAATAGATTGCTGAAATTCAGTATCGCTGAAATAAAAATAAAAATCATAGTACATCTCGAAAAAAATATCAAAAATATGTAAATTTACCTCTAGAACACAAAACAACTACAAATCACAACAGTAGTGTACCGGGGTATCACACACCCCAACCGTCTTTGACCAACTCCTAATTCAAACTGAAATTGTATGTACAGCTGATAACAAGGTCATCATGAGAAAACATGTATAAACTACAGCTACTAGGCGCTAGAAGGCGCTATTTCATCTACTTTCGATTTTATAAAAATAAAAGGTGTACCTGTGGTATGGTATACCCCAGAACACTAACCGAGGGTTAAATAAGGGCAGTGCTAAGTGTTACACGACTTTGAAAATACAATTTTAAAGGAGTCATGTAATTGTTCGTTTAAGATTTTATTTTGACACTTACACCACACATGGAAAAACTGTTTTTATATTCTACCATTAGAAGATTGTAATTCCAATTAAATTCTATCCCAAGTTAACTTCATCGTTTTCTATTAAGATTTTTGAACATTGGATCAACAAAGTCTTCTAGTAATTCCAAATACACATCTCCTGTCGAATTACCTAGTAAAAATAATTCAAAAACACGATCTAAATATTCTATTCTTCTTATTCAAGCCAAATATTCTAGTCCAAAAGTTTACCTTTTCTGGGTGTTAAGTATGTACTGCAGGAGACACTCTTGAATTGAAATCCGACCTGTATCAAATGACAATAAACTGAGCCAAACAAACATTGAAAATGTTAACATTAACTTTTAATGATGTTTCACACTTGTATTTACCCTATTAAAATTATATTGAACTTCGTGACACAGGGCGGAAAGGAAGGTACAGCAGGAGGATATGATAGAAATATGTTCCCTAAATAATAAAAATCGACGTGTTTTTCACAATTTCTTCATAAAAATCTGTTTTGAATATATATTTTAATATTTTCGGTGCATAACTTAGCTTAGAGAGAGCGAAAGAGTAGTATTTTGAACATTAAGTTTTGAAATGAAAGATGATGAATCAGCCAGGTATCAGCTTTTAACTGGGAACCAAATTCAAAAATGAAATCAAATTTATAAAGTTCGATATTAACTTCTAATTTTGACAACTAAAAAAAAAATAAATAGTGTATTTAGTAGATATAAAACTTGTTTTACCTGGATACTTTGCAAACCATTTGTGCTAAATCAGTAAACGTATAGTTTCCTAATGATGATTGTGTACTCGTAGTGGAACTTCTGTGTACATCCATAATATTTTTGACTATTGCTAAATTGCCAGCTCTGAGCTGTCCCTCGAAGTAGGCCTTACCGTGCTGGTAACCAACTTCTCGTATTTCGTCAAAGCTTCCAAATTGAAGGGTCCGGTATTTGTCGATAGGAGGACGAATATATTCACAGTAATCGCTATTTTTTACTTCCTAAAAATAATAAAAATCATGATTATGTGAAGAATAAGTTAAAAATACTACATACAAATTAAGTCACACTATCCCCAGAGTTGAGGTGCCTACCAGAAGTGTGTCCAAGTGCCAGACTTCTGTTGGGAAATATAAGCTGATTCCGAAGTCCCACTGACTAGCGCGGCTTTGGAAACGATAAGGAGTGAAATCCCTGATCACCATGAACTGTCAACTTAGTCTCAAGGAACTTCCCTCACGGAGGTACCAGGACTATTGAATTAGTGATAAAGGTAGAATTGTTTTTGTAAGTATGAACCCTGTTGGTTGTTTACTTATATTCTAAAATCTTTTTTATCTGTAGTGAACTGATGATGCTTTTAAAAATAAAAGCGAAACGTATTCAAATAAATCAATAAAGTAGTTGACGACTTTTATTTGCCAATTATTGACTGATAAAACCTCTGCTATTCAACCATTGAATATATTTTAAATTTCATCAACGGTCGTACTTTTTGCTATATATATATATATATATATATATATATATATATATATATATATATATATATATATATACAGGGTGGTGAATCGGCAAACGGGCCATAGGAAACTCAATGGTAAATTCTAAATTGTTGAATTCCTGCTTCCCTAATTATTTTACACCAAAAGTCATGAGAAACTATTTGTAGAGGACTCAAATATGTATCGAAAACAACTGTTAAAATTATTCTACGACTTAAACGTATTCCAAAATTTTGCTAAAATATAATACATTTTTCTGTGAAAAAATGTGTATTACGTGTTGCGTTTTGTCATATTATTGTTTCTGATATTTGACAATATTTAAATCAATTATATTATATTTATCTATGATTTAAATGGCCAAAATTTTGTGAGTTATTGTTTAAAAAAAATTAAGTTGATTAAAAAATGTACTCAGTTGAGGAGAAAAAAGCAATAATAAAAATGTTTATTCATGTTTTATTATAACATTTGTTATAGTTTTATGTTTAGAAATAATCATATATTATTATTAGGAATAAAGATCACAGTAACAGTATATTGGAACTCATTGAATTGTTGTATAACTTAACTTAACATGGAATTAAATTTTAGTGAATTAGAATATCTTACGTTAAATAAAGATCCGGTAGTGGCAGGAAAAGGTTCGCGCTATTGCCTGAATACAACATTATGCGATTTTTCGTCAACTGAGTACATTTCATTATATTGATCGATTTGTAAACAATATAATTTATTGTTCACAAAGTAATAATGTTCAGTAGTAGTAGTATTTAGTAAAATTCAATGTTTATAATTTAATCATAAAATAAAAAAATTGACAATTCAAATTGTCAAACATCTGACATAAATATGATAAAAGACATACGTCCTAATATATATTCTTGCATTACGTGTGGTCTAACTTTTAGGGGTAGCCTGAAAAATGTATCACATTTTTTCAAAATTTTGAAGTACATTTGATTCGTAGAACGGTTTTAACATTTGTTTTTAATTCAGATTTTAGTCCTCTACAAATAGTTTTTTATGACTTTTGATCTAAAATAATTAGGGAAGCAGCAATTCAACAATTTAAAATTTCTCATTGAGTTTCCTATGGCCCGTTTGACGATTCACCACCCGGTATATATATATATATATATAATATATTATATATATATATATATATATATAATATATATATAATAATATATATATATATATATATATATATATTATATATATATATATATATATATATATTGTACCGTTTTTAAATAAAACGAGCGGTTCGAATTTATATAAATATATTTATTTATAAGTTTACAGTTCGGTAATATCTTAACAACTAACTAAACTACCTCAATTATCGTTACTTATATATATATATATATATATATATATATATATATATATATATATATATATACAAATTATTATGTTCGAGAAAATTCTGGAGTAGCCCACCTCTAATTCGTGTCGTCGAAAGCGCATCGAAGACGTGCGCTATTGAAATGCCAACTCTTCGAGCTTTCTAGATTTATCGTTCTAAGAATTGTGACACATCGGTGGTGGGCTATTTCGTTACACTGCTCCCCTCTTAGATCTGAGCGTCCCGATCAGCAACTCTATATGCAGGCCCAGAATGGCGGAATCTACAGGACTCTCCAGCTCTGCATGAACCCCTCAGAAAGAAATAACAGTCTACTGTTTTTGAAGAACACGATCTCTTCGGATTAATGCAACACACAGTAATTCTTACGCCGGTTTCTCGGAAGATCACTTCAAGCATGCTTCTGACAATCTTCCAATCCAGATTATCTAGTGCATGGCCTATCTTGGGTAGGCCCAAATCTCCACTTCTGAGATGTCTGCCCTTGACGACAGAATGTCTTCGTTAAAAAACCAAGTTGCTGCCGATATGTTGGCCTTCGAAGAAAAGATGAAAGAGATGAAATGTAAGTTGGAAACACGGCCGAAATTTTGAGGAAGTGGAGTTTCTGTTCATGTTAAAGTTCCAAACTTTCGACGGAAAATCGTCATGGAACAACTACATGAAACAGTTCGAATCAGCGGCAAGAGCGAATGGATGGTCTGAAAAAGAAAAGGCTGTAAACCTGACTATAGCTCTTCGAGGAGATGCTTTAGATGTGCTTCAGACCATAGCCGTAGAGGAGATACATGATTTTGAACAACTTAAGAAGAGGTTAAATATGCGATATGGCCACGAACATTTGGAGCATGTATATCAGTCGCAGCTTAAAAATTGAAGACAAAAGAAAGATGAGACCCTTCAAGAATATGAGGTAGATATTGCCAGATTAGTACGATATGCTTATCCAACAGCTCCCGAAGACATGATGAAAAGTTGGCCGTTCAAACGTTTATTGATGGTCTTCGTGATCATGAAATGCAGAGAACACTACGATTAGCTCGTCACAAGACGCTGGTTGACGTCTTATCCGCCGCCCTCGAATACGAGTCCGCTACGCAGGCCTCTGGCGGGTACAGTAAAGTTAGGACTGTAAAATAGGAAGGTGATGAAGATAAACTTGACCTGCTCGTTAATATGATAAAAAGCATGACATATAAGAAACCGAAGACCATAAGATGCTGGAATTGTGGCGAAATAGGACACGTACGAAGTTCTTGTAAGCATCCTAGGTACGACGCAAATCAAGAAACTCACCATCAGGAAAACTAGAACGGGTCGGCCTTAGGGGGGCAGCTTCGACCCAGTACTTTTCCAAAGACCGAAAGGTCTTAATCTCGATTAAGGAAAAATCCGAATCTGCACCTCCACGCGGTAGAGGACGGGCAACATCAATTTTGATGGCTAACGCAGATAGGGACCGAGTGATTGCCGGTATAAGCAGTCCCCCACTTACCGACCAACGGCTCCGGGCGGACGAGTTGGTAGGTGGTAGGGCACTCTTTTGTCCTGGGGATGAGAAACCGGCCCCAAAGGCGGAAGAATCAATGGTTTGGTCAACGGCATAAGAATATAGAAGGCAACGAGAAACCACTATATTAAAGATCCCTATGGATATCTCTAGTACAATTATAATGGCTGTACAACTCAATAAAAATTCGCATACTGATCATGGACATCGGAGACCAAGATCCGGCAAGAGAGGTCATTCCCATGACCACAGGGCCTCTCAGGTCGTTAATATGCAAAATCCCTGTGAAATACCCAATAAAACACCTTTAAGAAAAGTCCACACGAATTGTCTGAAGAGGATATCCACTTGGAACGTTAGGACGATGGCTCAATCAGGAAAAATCCAATGCGCAATTAAAGAAATGGAACGCATGAAAATAGAAATAATGGGCATAAGTGAAATGAGGTGGCCTGACTCAAGTTATTGTGATATAGAAGACTACAGAGTATACTGTTCAGGATCAGAAAATGGTAAATATGAGAATGGGGTTGGAATTATCACGCATAAAAGTATAGCCAAACAAGTCAACAACTTCATACCAGTGAACGATAGAATCCTCCTGTTACAAATAAATACGTCACCGGTGAACACAAACATCATACAAGTCTATGCACCCACAGCAGACCATAGTGATGAAGAAATATCAGAATTCTACAAACAAATAAGCAACCTTATAAGAGATATGCCGAGACACGAACTCCTTATAATCATGGGAGATTTCAATGCAAAAATAGGTAACGGAAAAGAAGGGCAACATATTGGTCCACATGGATTAGGAGAGAGAAATCAACGCGGAGAAACAATGAGTATTTTTGCAGCTTAGCATGACTTAATCGTGCTAAACACATTTTACAAACTACCGCCCAGACGCCTGTATACGTGGAAATCACCTAGAGACAACGGAGAAGACGTTATTATTAGAAATCAAATAGACTATATGCTTGTTAACAAAAGATAATCGAAATAGTTTCAACAGTGTTAAAACCTACCCAGGCGCTGATATTCAATCTGACCACAATCCTTTAGTGGGCGTGTATAGAACTAAGTTAAAGAAAATACGCGGAAAAACTGTAAAAAAACATGACATGAGAAAACTGAAATGTAGCGAAGTAAAAGAAATAATCAGCAAAACATTAAATAGAAAATTTAAAGAAATCGATAATACAACGGAAAGCACAGAAGATAAGATAGAATCCCTTAAGAAAGCAATAGACGACATTAAAGACAATTTTATGAAGAACGAAGAAGGTAAGAATAAGACATGGATGACGACAGAGATTCTGCAACTAATGGAAGAAAGAAGGAAAAACAAGAACGATAACTCCATGTATAAAACATTACAGCGAGAGATACAGAGAAAGATCAGAGAAGCCAAACAGAAAGAACTGGAGAAAAAATGCCAAGAAATCGAAATTCTCCAAAGTAAATACGACGACTTCAACGTGCATAAGAAGGTAAGAGAAATTACAGGTAAATGTAAAAACAGAAAAATAAGTAAACTTGTTAATGACAATGGAGAGATAATCGTGGACAAATGGAGTATCAATGATACCTGGAAAAATTACATAAGAA